CTAAACTTCTTAGCTTTTTGTGGTCCGTGGAGAGTATGACTAGCTTAAGGTACACATAAATCATCTTTGCGTCGGATGCTGTGGATCTCATAAATTAGTGTAGTGACCAGACCTCCGGCGTGGCCGTCCTTCCGGTACCATTCCTCTGAAGCGGTTCGTGCTTTGCAAGGAATTGAATCTTGGGAACTGTTTTTGGAAGACTCCTTTTCAAATCAAAGGGCAAGAAGGATTGCAAATAGTGTGACATTGGAGGATCGAAGACAATCTTACGTAGCGGTGGGTTCCCCTACTTGGCTTAGGGATCTCTTTGACTCTGAAATGAGGATGTGCTCCTCGGTTCAATGTTGATGAGGCCTTGTCTTTTGGTGTTATGATTGTGGGTGATCTTTTGATTTGTGCACCTAGTTTTAATATTATAACTATTGGCTTTGACCACATATTTTGAACGGTTGATGTAATTATCCTTCCTTCTTTTCAAATTATTTAGATGAAAAAAAAATATGGTATCATGGTTATGCTCGAGTTTCGATGTAATGATCAAACGATATTGTTTCTTGAGATTCTAATTTTTTGATTTAATGAGCTTCGGGCTTCGTGGTTTATTCTACAAGTTTTTAGATTTCAGTTATGAATTCTCTTAAGCATTTCACAAGCCTATATAAGATAGAGATCTACTTAATCAAATATTTATTAAATCTTCATTCGGTTATTAAACTGACATTTGAAGTCTCCTCGGTGTTTCTTGCATTGCAAGTCAAACATAAACACATAGATTATCATATAAAGGTACAGGCAGGGTTTACAAATCACAAACCAGGAATTAAAAACAAGCTAGAAAATAGAGCCTAGGCATAACATTGTTATTTATTAAAACATAAGTCCAGTTGTAGAGCAGCTATCTAAGGCTGCCAAAGGTTTATTCGCATGTTCCTCGCGGTTGTCCTTATTTCAATCATCATGTTGTGCTGAATTCTGCAAGTACTACTATGGAGCAAGTTCTTTTTGACCATGGGTACATCAGTGGTAGGATCCCGAATGTTTTGCTCAGATATGAAAACAATGTAGATGTTATCACTGCGGTGTCATATTATCTACTTTGTTTCCATATCTGAGCTAGGCATCCAGATCCTACCGCTGATGTACCCATGATCAACAAGAACTTGCTCCACAATAGTACCAGCATAATTTTATAGGTTTAGAAAGCATATAGAAAAAGGCTAATATTAATGTTTGAAAATAAAATGTATTGTTTACTTCTCAGGTTCTGCATGCGTGACAAGTCGACCATCGTCCGAAGAGTACGAAATACTCGCTGTCTGAGCGTTACACGGAGCAGAAAGATTTGCTCTCTTCTTCATCAGCTTATTTGTGCGAGCTCTAAATTTTTTTATCAGGTTTAAGGTTGTTCATTGAGAGAGAGATTGTTTTGATTACTCGTTCTTACCTCTGCATCTTGTTATATATTAAAAAAGATGAGGCTGAATGAATTATTGAAGATATCATGGTTGAATGAATTATTGAATATATCATGGTTAGAATGAATTATTGAAGGTGTGGGAAGAGTTGACATCGATGCCAGAGGATGTAGTGACTTTATTTTTGCTCTGTACAACAAGCTTATTAGAGTGAAAGAAGCAAATGAGATGAGGAAGCCAAACGAAGGAAGTGAAAGCTGACCATCTCGACATCA